AAACACTTGGATTTTCTAAGTGGAAGGTACACTTTGTCCATAATTTCCAGGATGAAGATGTAGCTGCACTATGCCAGAAATTAATGAAGGAAGACATTCTTCCTAAGTGCTTCTCTTGTTTTAACTTTAGTGAAACCACTACAAGGTGTTTCAGGCTCTGATCACATGTTTCACACCTGCCCTTGGAGGTCACAGTACTAATTTACTTAAAATTTAGTTATGACAGTGTTACCATATCCTAGTTATGTTTACAGAAGAAACAGTGACTGTCACACATCCAGAGGAGACTGAACCTGCCCAGCTGATGTACTCTTTTATGAAATAAAGTCACTTGATCAGAAGGAATTGAAACAGTATTTTGTTACCTACTGGAGGGATTTTTGTCTTGAATTTGTTTCTTTAGAAATTTTGCCAAAAAAATGGTGTTAATAAATGTCTGCTTTGTAAAAGTAGTTTTGCAATTAAAAAAAATCTATTTCTGTTATAATTTAGGCTCTGCAGAAACAGGATTCTTAATTGAAACATATAATTTGCTTAATTACATGAATAATGAAATGTAAAATCAGGGTCCATAAGCGTTTAATTTCATACAGTCATAGGATGAAGCTGTTTAACTGCTCGGATCCCAGTTGGTCTCTGGCAGTGGGATCCTGGAAAGGAGAAATCCTAACCTCTGCTCAGGCACAGGCCGCAACCAGGCTAGGGTGTGAGTAAGTGCTGTGGAGCTCTCTGCCACTTTCTTCAATGTAATGTTACAGTAAGCATCAAAGATATGACTTCTACTATAAATATTTCTGTGTCCCTAAGAACAGAGAAACCTAACTCTGTAGGAGACTGGTTACAGAGGACCTCCTGGGCGATGCCCCATTCCTCCAAATCCAAGCACAGCCATGCTGAGTGGAAGTGAGGCCACCCTCTGGTTGGTTGGTCCCAAGTGTGTACTGAGGAAAGTGCCCAGGTGCGGGTACACTGCCTCTCCCAGAGCCTCAAGAAAGGCCACTTAGGAGCTTACTTCAACCATTTTCTGTGAAATACTGTTAGCCCACACTCTAAAGGGATGTACAGACATTGGTTTTACCAAATTCTTCACTGTCATTTGGAAAAATGGGCCTTTATTTAAGGTGATTTTTACAGAAATGTGATTTTGCTGTAGGTGATTATCCAAACAAGTAAATTTGAGTTTATATTATAATTTAATTTTTAAACTCTTAAACCTTGTCACTCCAAGGAGTTCATTTATGGGAAAGAAGATGGATACTTGTGTATTTAACGAAACATCATGATATTCAGGTACTCAGGAGTAACAATATTTCATTTGGGAGGAGGGCACTTGTGCGAAGGGCTTTGTTCACCTGGAGCTGCACAGGAGCAGATGTAACTGAGAAAGCCACACAAGTCAGAGGGTCATCTAGCACAGCAGTCCCCAACCTTTTTGGCACTAGGGACCAGTTTCATGGGAGACAGTTTTTTCCCAGGTCGGGGGACAGAATGGTTTTGGGATGATTCAAGTGCACTACATTTATTGTGCAGTTTATTTCTATTATTATTGCATTGTAATATACAATAAAATAATTATAGAACATCCTATAATGTACAATCAGTGGGAGCCCTGGGCGTGTTTTCCTGCAACTTGACAGTCCCATCTGTGGGTGATGGGAGACAGTGACAGATCATTACAACCTAGATCCCATGCGTGTGCAGTTCAGTAGGGTTTGCACTCCTAAGACTCTAATGTCGCTGCTTATCTGAAAGACGCAAAGCTCAGGCAGTAACACAAAACATGGGAGTCGCTGCAAATACAGATGAAGCTTCACTCACTGGCCGCAGCTCACCTGCTGAGAGGCCCAGTTTCTTAAAGCGTTGGGGACCTGTGATCTATCACATCACCCTAAATGAGACTTGGAAATGATCTGCATACCTTTGGCAATCTGTGTGTGGACTCAAGATGACAAAACTAGGCTTTTAAACTGCACGGTGGCATCTTCATTAGGAAAATGATTCTGAGAAGAGCAACTTGATTTATGCTGTGAATGATCAACAACTCAGAATGCCTAGATGGGTCAGCTTGTTCTACCATTTAAGACATTTTGCCAGAAGTGTTGTGAATACACTTTAGGACATGCAATCAAGGCTCGATGATAGGATAATAGGATGAGCTAGCCTGCACGACCCCCACATGGGTCCTCTTCCTCACCAGAACTTCAGGCCCAGTGGTCAGTGGGGCTGACCCTTCCCCAGGGGCATCTCCTCTCCCTGTACAGATACTTGCAAAATTAAGATAAATGTCTACACTGACCAGATAGTTGAGTAGTACTTTCTTGCGATAGGAGAGTGCCAGGCCTAGGGCTGCCTCACCTCTCCACCTGTCTTCCAGCAACCATGCTTTCCTCAACTTTATAAGTAACTGTAGACCCTAAAGGATTCAAGGAAGGGATGAGAATGTGGGGTCTGCAGAGTTATGTACTTTAGTGGACTGCATCAACAGAAGTAACCAGAGTTTCCTTCTAAACCCTCAGTCTGCAAAACCACTACAGTGCCCTGGAATTCCCATCAAATGACCAGTGCCTAGAGAATATATATTTTTTTTTTTTTTTGAGACAGAGTTTCACTCATGTTACCCAGGCTGGAGTGCAATGGCGCGATCTCGGCTCACCGCAACCTCCGCCTCCTGGGTTCAGGCAATTCTCCTGCCTCAGCCTCCTGAGTAGCTGGGATTACAGGCATGCGCCAGCATGCCCAGCTGAATTTTTTTGCTATTTTTAGTAGAGACAGGGTTTCACCATGTTGACCAGGATGGTCTCGATCTCTTGACCTCGTGATCCACCCGCCTCGGCCTCCCAAAGTGCTGGGATTACAGGCTTGAGCCACCGTGCCCAGCCCGAGAATATTAACATCTGTTGCCTTAATCCTTTTTCTCTTTTTTTTTTTTTTTGAGATACAGTCTTGCGCTCTGTCGCCCAGACTGGAGTGCAATGGCACAATCTCGGCTCACTGCAACCTCCGCCTCCTGGATTCAAGTGATTCCCCTGCTTCAGCCTTCAGAGTAGCTGCGATTACAGGTGCGCGCCACCACGCCCAGCTAAATTGTTTTTGTATTTTTAGTAGAGACGGGGTTTCACCATGTTGGGCAGGCTGGTCTTCAACTCCTGACCTCAGGTGATCCGCCTGCCTCGGCCTCCCAAATGTTGCCTTAATCTTAATGAGAACAACTTGAAGCAATGGAAGCTACTTTTGACCCATGCCAATTTAGCAAGAAAAGACTTGTCAAAGTATTACTGATAATTTCTACTTTACTGTACAGGTTAAAATAAAACAAACATATTCTTTCTGCTAAGGTAGATTTATTGTTACACATGGTTAGTTTTCATTATGTAATTCCCTACCCCAGAGCAACTCAGGGCTCCATGGGGCAGAAGCCTGCTCTTGGTCATTGCTCACAACACAGCAGGCAGGTCACGGGGGCATGCTTTGCTGCCAGATCCTCCAAAGGAAGTCACAAAGGTTTGCATTTGGACATTTAAATGCACAAAATCAGGAGAAACAAATGCACAACGGCTGGTGCATATACTTTGGTTACAGTGACGCCACCACACATGGTCATGACTGTGCAAAAATACTGCTTTCAAATCATTAAAAGAACTCACACAAGCTATAAAAATGTTGTCACAAAAAGCAAACCTTTCCTGTTAGAAATATTAACTGACTTTGACTATGAACTAACTCCAGATTTGCTAAAGTACAAGAATTGTACCATAATTATATTTTGTTCATAAGTAACATTCTATACGTCTTGAAGACCTAGTTCACAGGCATCTTAAAACATGGCACTGTCCTACATCCATGGGACATTTAAAGAAAGGAAGTTTGCACACCACTGTCTGGGCTTTTCTCATTCTTTTTTCATCTTCTGGCAAGTCTATTCCAGCCATTACGATTACTTTGATTCTTTTCATGTGAAATATTAAAAACAAAAATTATTAACCCAGGAGCTGGTCCCAGTGTTTACTGCAATACAAACAAGTGACCCTCTAATTGACACAACAAAATGTTACAAACACTATTGTTAAAAAAAAATACCCCTCAGACAGGGGTCTGTTGGGGTATCATGATAAAAGTTAAACAGAAACACCCTACAATAAATCATTTGATTTTCACTTTAAGTTGTCAGACCAGAAGATTCTTTAAACAAGAAACAAACTAAGCACTCAGAACCACTCCTCACACCCCATTTTCACAAAAGTGCATTTGGCTGGTTGTAGGATATATTATTAGGTAAGAAAACAAAACCCCATTTTTCTCTCTGATCATTTTTTCATAAGAGATTCTAAAAGGGAGTGAAAAAGTATCAACTGGACTCCATTCCAGATCTTACCCCCACAGACAGCCAGCTCTCATTTAAGAATTTCAGAACTTGGAAGGAAGGAGGGGATCCACATTAGATTCTAGGGCTGATGGACACAGCATCCTCATTGCCAACCCCAGTAGGCGCTCTGACATCACAGAGCTTCCTGCTCTACCAAGCAGCCCACCTCATGCACATCACCACCATAACTATGGCCAGCAAGTCCTCATGACCACCGGATACAGATCCTCTACGATCTGGCCTTGGCTGGCCCTTCCTACTTCATTTCCTGCTACTTTCTCTTTCTTCCTAGACTGACCTACTCACCATTCCTCAGACACCCTGCACTCAACCCTTGGCCTGGAAATACTCACTCTACTTCAGCGCAATAAAATCCTACCAATTCTAGTTGAGAGCCACCAAATGTGAAAATGTCATTCCAACACTACTTACTACTACCTGACATAACATAGGAAGTTTCGTTATCTGTCATCAATGAAGATCCGTGATATCAAAGTGTCTGCTGGGTTAAGTCTTGCAACAAACACATTTCAAATATAAATCATTTAACTATAAAATATGCAAAAGACATTCAGGGGACAAGTCTATGTCTAAAGTACAATATCACCATATAAAATAACAGAATCAAGTTCATGAATTAAGATAGCACACATGTATTATATAAACCAATTAAACATGACAGAGTTCAAATAAGCCAAAATATTCCATCAGCTAAGAGAACAATCAAGTTCCCTGAGAAACAAGCTGGGGTTCTTGCCCACTTGAGCATAAAGTCTACTCCTGTACCACATTCACCCCACCTAACCCATAATGTGCAATAAATGTGAAAATTACATACATTCATTCTTGAGCTTGACTTAATCTATCCAGCCCTGACCAAGACTTCTCTAGCCATAGCACAGAACACATCACCTCAATGTAGTATATAAACATGAAAATAATGAGCAGGCTGTGCCAACTGAAACACTCTAATGCAAACATAAAGGGATCTTCACTCCAACTACAAGTGAAAACTATCTCCAGAAAAAGAGAAAATTCCATTTCTAATAGATCTTGTGGGTGTGTGGGTGTGTGTGTGTATATGTGTAAGTACAAATCAAATTCCCTTTGACACTCATCCATACAAGAAGCAAGTGCTTCCAGAAAGCTCCTTTCCTCACAGTGTAATGCCTACAGACCCTGGCTATTCTATATTTTTGCCATGCACATGTTAGCATACAGAACAACACAAAAAGCAAAGAAACTAGTCACTAGCACCATCAAAATAATCACAGGATAACAAAAATACAAATGATTTCTAATAAAGTTATAAACTTATTCCTAGTAACTGTCCTAAACTAAACACACATTTAAAGAACATATCCAGATGCCAAAGCACAGAGATAATGCAAAGCATCTACGAGAACAACTGGGCTGAGTACTCAAGTCCAACAAAAAGGACATAAAAACACGTGGCAACATTAAACACAGGCTCCACAAACACCAATGAAATATGAGGAATGAGATTCTGAAGTACTTCTCAGAAAACGCTGGGGGACCTGATAAGCATGAAACAACCTATCATCACCACAAGATGAACAGGAGCCTCTCCTTCATTGATTTCACAGCAACACAGACTCCACGAGCTTAAACAATACACAGGCCATCTGGCTCATATGCAACAAAATTAAGCCATTAAATGGGCATCCCATAAAGATCACTTGACCCTAAGACAAAACTAAAGAGGAGTTAGCTGCATGCCACGAAGACAAAAACATTTCATTTGAGATCTCCATCTCCTTCTCCGTCCCCTTGGATGGACTTTTTGATGCGAAGCAACATAGTGGTCAGCCACTGATCCAAGCGAGATATTGAGTCAAATTCCTTCACCTAGTATAAAAAAAGAGGAACAGGAATTACCCATGTAAATACATTAAAAACACAAAATAATAGTATCCCAAGCTGTTTATACATTTATAGCCATAATCTACTTTCCTCATCATTTGAAATTAATCATTTCAGTTTACAACTTGCTTCATTAAAAAACTGTTTATTTTTTTCATTATCCTGTTACTATTTTGATGGTACTAGTGACAAGTTTCTGGGCTTGACATTTCTGTTTTCAAACGTGTATGATAAAATTCATTAACAGTCATAATTAGTGTGACAAAAGAAACATTGTATACAAATTTTAAAGGAATATGAAAAATTAATACTTCACGGAACATGGGAAAACATTAACTGCAGAGTTAGAATGTATGGACGCGGAATTCCTTTAACACATTTCAATGCATTACCAAAGATTAAAATTACAATAGGATGAAAATGATATGGTAGGCAAAAGTTAGGAAAACATTCCTTTCCACTATTACTCCTGAGCTGTGATGAACATGTTACAGGAGGCTACTGAGAAATTTGCTTGAGACTGGGTATAGTGGCTCATGCCTGTAGTCCTTGCCCGATGGGAGGCCAAGGCAGGTGGATAGCTTAAGCCCAGGAGTTAAGAGACATGCTGAAAACTTGTCTCTACAAAAAATATGAAAAAAATTAAAATTGCTGGGTGTGGTGGTGTGCACCTGTCCTCCCAGCTATTCAGGAGTCTGAGGTGGGAAGCTCTCACCTGAGCCCAGGAGATTGAGGCTACAGCGAGCTGTGATCACACCACTGCACTAAAGTCTGAGTGACAGAGTGAGGCTGTTTCTAAACATATAAAAAAAATTTTTTTTTGCTTGATTCTAAACATGAGATGGCAAAAGATGGAAAAACAAACAAATATAAAGAAAAAACCTTCATTTTAAAAATGATTTTTATTTTTTATTTCTATATTTATTTTTGAGATGGAGTTTTGCTCTTGCCCAGGCTGGAGTGCAATGATGCAATCTTGGCTCACTGCAACCTCCACCTCCTGGGTTCATGCAATTCTCCTGCCTCAGCCTCCCAAGTAGCTGGGATGATAGGCACACTTCATCATACCTGGCTAATTTTTGTATTTTTAGTACAGACGAGGTTTCGCCATGTTGGCCAGACTGGTCTCAAACTCCTGACCTCATGATGCACTCGCCTCGGCCTCCCAAAGTGCTGGAAATACAAGCATGAGTCACCGTGCCTGGCCACCTTCCATTTATTTTATGCCATAAATACAGCAAATTCTCACTACTTAGTTTTTATATTTTAAATTATATTTAACTAATTTTTTTTTTTTTTGAAACGTAGTCTCACTCTATCACCAGGATGGAATGCAGTGACGCCATCTTTGCTCACTACAACCTCTGCCTCCCAGGTTCAAGTGATTCTCCTGTCTCAGTCTCTCGAGTAGCTGGGATTACAGGCACACGCCACTACGCCCAACTAATTTTTGTATTTTGAGTAGAGACAGGTTTCACCATGTTGGCCAGGATGGTTTAGATCTCTTGACCTCTTCATCCAGCCACCTTGGCCTTCCAAAGTGCTGAGATTACAAGCGTGAGCCACCGCGTCCAGCCTTAACTAATTTTACTTTATACTTATGGGTCAGATTATTTTCAAAAGAAAAAATTAAAACAGCAAATTATAAGAATATATATGGAATATTTGCTCCTGGTTTCACAGCTAAATTAGTTTTGAGTATAAGTCAGGAAACAGCACTGAATACAACTGGAATCTCAGCATGGCTAATGGAACTGTTTAATTTGTGCAATATATAAAAGGTGACCTTTGGAAAATACGACTTAGGTATGCTGGAGTCATGTTCAAACAAATGTTCAGAACTTACATAATGAAAAGAAGTTTCTCTAACTTAAATCTTCAAATAATGTACCACGTCCCAAAAGCATAACTTACTGCTTCAGTGTAAGCTTCACTGTTCTGTTCTTCATGAGCTTCTAGGAGTTTCTGGTAGCATAAAAATATTTTTAAAAACACTTCCATAAGATGAAGTCCCATTTCTAAATAAATACTTTAAGTATAACACTGATGTTGCCAAATATTGCATGCAATTGAGGAAATACTCAAATACAAGTCAGGATCCAAGTTAGGGATCTAGCTTTTGTACTAACATTTCTGAGTTGCCTATTGCAGAACAGAACTACATATTCCTGACCTTAGTTGCATTTGAATACCTATAATGCTAAAGCAGGAAAGTAACAGGGCCCTTCAGTTAGCAGACTTTACAGATTAAAACTTCACCTCATACCCAATCCCACTTAGGTGTTGTCACCTGACAGAGTAAAGGCATTTTTCTTCAAAGTTCTAATATTACTTACTTTCAATAATTTACATTCTCTTGAATCAGTAAATGCTGGAAACATTTCCTCATATTTCTCAAGAGCAAGCTGAAAGAGAAAAACCACTCATCAATATCATACTTACTAAACAAAGCTTTTGACATTCTATCACCTTCAAAGAGGATCTACCTATATCCTATTAAGTGCTGAAGAAGTATATGGTTAAACTCAACAGCAGAATCAACAAGAAAATCTATTCTGAATTTTCCATTTCAATTAATAATTTCTAAACCTTTTTTTTTTTTTTTTTTTTGAGTCAGGCAGCTGCAGAGAAGACAGTATAAATGAAAACGAATTCTTGTGGATTTTTTTTTTGGGACAGAGTTTCACTCTTGTTACCCAGGCTGGAGTGCAATGGCGCGATCTCGGCTCACCGCAACCTCCGCCTCCTAGGTTCAGGCAATTCTCCTGCCTCAGCCTCCTGAGTAGCTGGGATTACAGGCACGCGTCACCATGCCCAGCTAATTTTTTTTGTATTTTTAGTAGAGACGGGGTTTCACCATGTTGACAAGGATGGTCTCGATCTCTTGACCTCGTGATCCACCCGCCTCGGCCTCCCAAAGTGCTGGGATTACAGGCTTGAGCCACCACGCCCGGCGAAAACGAATTCTTAAACACTCACAGACCAGGTATCTGTGTCCATTCATTAAATGGAGAAGCTCTTAATATAGTCCAGATTCCAAATAAATTACATTTAGCTTCCTTCTTGAGGCTGGCAGAAAGAACACTTTCTCTTAGCAGCTTTAATTCTGCTCTTCCAACCCCAGACACTGGCCATGCCAAGGCTGCCTGTCTTTGCCTCTTGTGCTTTCCAACTTCTTCCCAGTCCTCACTCCAACACCGTTTCTGAGCTTGTTTTTTTGTTTTTAAAAAAGACATTATCCTACTTTTCTCGTTTCCCCTTAGTTCCTTAATTTTTTTTTCTTTTGTCAGACAGAGTCTAGCTCTGTCACTCAGGCTGGAACGCAGTGGCGCAATCTCTGCTCACTGCAACCTCTGCCTCCCGGGTTCAAGTGATTCTCCTGGCTCAGCCTCCCGAGTAGCTGGACCTACAGCCACCCACCACCACACCCAGCTAACTTTTTTTATTTTTGTATTTTTATTAGAAATGGGGTTTCACCATATTGGTCTGGCTGGTCTTGAACTCCTGACCTCAGGTGATCCACCCACCTTGGCTCCCAAAGTGCTGAGATTACAGATGTGAGCCACCACACCTGGCCCCTTAATTTCTTTCAAGCAAAACTACTGAAGAAAAAATGTGGTTACCAGTGAACATATACATATATTTAAGCCAAAAGCACTAAGTATTCCCACGCAGTCTCCCATTCAAGTACCAGGCTCTACACTGTTTAGGTTCTGAGATCAGACAAGACTGGGCATGTTCAGGGTGGTATGACTGTTAACTATCAGGTAAGTTTAGAGAACAGCTTTGACAGCTGTTAAAAGATTACAACTGGAACACATACCACAGAAGAATACTTATTTTTAGTGTACCCAGTTTATTCTTGTTACTAACATCCAAATGAAATGAAAACAAGAACAAGAGACAATGTGTACATGTTCTTAGGCATGAAACCAGACAATCAGTGCTGAAGGACTCCTTACCTTGGCATTCAACTCATCTACTATGAAGTGGCAGAGGGCAGCTTTGAAGAAGTAATCCTTTGCACTGTACTTCAACAAAGGATTATCCATTGTGTTTGCCCCAACCTAGGCACAGAAGAGAGGTTAAATTTAAAAGGTTTACCCTCATATCAGGCAAAGTAATTCTCATCTGTTGTCCTTTAGAAAATAATTACATATGTTAGTTTAGCTATGAAATATATTCTTTTAAATCAATACACAGAGTAGAAATTTTACTAGACAAGACCATTAAATACATGAACTCTTAACCAGTTAAAAATGGCTCAGAAGAATTCTGCTTCCAAGAAGATGGAGTAAACATCCTTTTCCCTATTCCTCCCACTAAGCGCTACTAACAGCCCAGGACATTTTCTAAAAAACAAACATCTGTGAAAGGTGGTTAGAGAATGGCAGACCAGTTAGGAACGAAAACATGGTGAATTCCCTGGGGTTTCTTTTCCCTTCCTATATCCACGGCAAGAAACTGAGGAATCAGCAACCCAGAAATGCCAGTATGCACAGACCAAAAGAACAGACAAAAGCTGCTCTCTCTGGCCAAAGGACTAAAAAGGGGCACATCAGCAAGAGAGAAAACACTTAAGACAATAACTGCTCCACTCCAGCCAAACACCACAGAAAAAACTGAGGCTCTAACCCCACTGGCACCATCAAAGGCTGAAGAAGGAGTCCTGACATCTATTCTTGAAAGACTGTAAGAAGGACCCTAATACCTCCGCTGACGAGCTTCAGATAAGGCCAAATAGGGAGCTGAGGCTTCATAGCCACCCAACACCCTGCCACTAAGGCAGTGCAGACCACACTGGGAGCCTGCATCCTGTCTCTACCCAGAAGGAACGAGGTACTCCTTTCCCCAGCTGATGTGCTGTCAGAAGAGGTCTAGTGAAAGGTGAAGACTTTCACCATCACCAAGAACAAACCAGCACTGTGCTGGCAGAAATGGATAAGAAGAGGGGATGCCACTTCTGCCCAGGGCTGACTAGGCCCCTCAGGTGTCAGCAGAGACCTGGTGGGGAGCTGACACTTCTACCTCCACCTGGCAGTAATGAGGCAACAACCTCAGCTCACCCAGCCAGAGGAGTGTCAAAGAACACCTGATGAAAGAGAAGTTTTAAATAAGACCCAGTCTCATAACCTAATGTGCAAATGCCCTGTTTTCAATCAGAAATGACTCATAATACCAAACACACAGGAAGATCTCAGGCTAAATGAAAAAAGACCATTAACAGATGATAGTTCCAGATGACGGAAATGTACAAAATATCCAAGAAAGATTTTAAAGCAGCCCTCATAAAAATGCTTCAACAAGCAATTACAATAACACATGAAACTAATGGAAAATAGAAATCATCCACAAAGAAAAAGCCACAGGTAAAAAAAACAACAACAAAAAAAAACAAGACATAAAGTAAAAACAAATGAAAACTTCAGAACTGAAAAAAATAATACCATACATAAAAAATAGGTGGGCTCAACAGGAGAATAAAAGGGACAGAGGAAAGCAGCAGTGAATGGAAGACAACAACAGGAACAACAAAGAGAAGACAGACTGACAAAAAAAAAACGGAACATCAAGGACCGTTTCTCATCAAGGGTGAGAAAACAGTGTCTTACTTCTGTGGCATCTGTGTTCTAGATGGGGAGAAGAAAGAGAAACGGACTGTCTGAGTGCCATGGTTCACGCCTGTAATCCCAGCACTTTGGGAGGCCAAGGCAGGTGAACCACTTCAGGTCAAAAGTTTTAGCCCAGCATGGCAAAACCCTGTCTCTACTAAAAATCCAAAAATTAGCCAGGCATGGTGGCGAGCACCTGTAGTCCCAGCTACTTGGGAGTCTGAGGCAGGAGAATTGCTTGAACTTGGGAAGCAAAGGTTACAGTCAGCCAAGATTGCGCCATTGCACTGACGTGCCTAAGCAACAGAGCAAGACTCAGTCTCGGAAAAAAGGGGGAGATGCTGAAAAGTACTTGAAGAAATAACTGCTGAACAATTCTCAAATTTGACAAGAAACATAAACCTACAGATTCTGTAAGTTTAAACTCAAATAGCCTAAAACCAAATATATCTATTCAAACCATATTATAATTAAACTTCTGAAAACTAAAGACAAAGAAAAAAATTATGAAAGTATCCAGAGAATAATACCTTTTTTATAGGGAAAAAACAAGCTGAATGACAGCTGATTTCTCATCAAAAACCACGGAAGCTGGCTGGGCATGGTGGCTCATGACTGTAATCCCAGCACTTTGGGAGGCTGAGGAGAGTGGATCACTTGATGTTAAAAGTTGGTAAAACCAAGGAAGCTATAAAGTACACTTTTTTCAAACCAAAGGAAAAGGACAATCAACTTAGGCTTGTACTCCCAGAGAAACTATGTTTCAGAAATGAAGGCAAAATCAAAACATTTTGAAATAGAGGAAAATTAAGAAAATCTGTCAGCAAATCTACCCTAAAATGACAAAAGAAGGTTCTCTAAGTAGAATGGAAACAGTAATTTTGGAACATCCAGAAGGAAGAAGGAACATCATAAGCAAAAATATGGGTAAATATAACAAGCTTTCCTTCTTGAGTTTTCTAAATTATGTTTGATGGCTGAAACAAAAATTCTAACATTGACTCCTGTGGTTCTAAATGTATGTAAAGGAAACATTAAGACAACTATATATTGAATAGGGAGAGTAAAAGAACAGAAAGAGAGGAAAGATTTCTATATTTCACCAGAACTGACAAAATGATGACACCATTAATCTGTGACAAAGTTATGTAAATATAATGTAATATCTAGAGCATTTAACCACAAAAGCTACACAGAGACATACCATTGATTCTCCAACAAGGGTTTGAACTGTGTGAATCCACTTATACATGGACTTTTTCAAACAAACGTGGATTGAAAATACAGTATTCTTAGGAATTCAACACCCACATAAATGGAAGGCTGACTTTTTGTATATGTGAGCTCCACAGGGCTGACTGCGAAACTTGACTATGCACAGATTTTGGTATATGAGAGAGGTCCTGGAATTAATACCCTGCAGACAATGAGGAATAACTGTACTTAGAAACACTAGAAAATCAAGTAGACTGGGCATGGTGGCTCACGCTTGTAATCCTAGCACTTTGGGAGGCCATGGTAGGCAGATCACTTGAGCTCAAGGTGTTCAAGACCAGCCTGGGCAACATAGCAAAACCCCATTTCTACAAAAAATAGCCAGGTGTGGTGGTGCATGCCTGTACTCCCTGCTATTCCGGAGGCTAAAGTGGGAGAACTGCTTGAGCCTAGGAGGTGGAGGCCACAGTGGGCCAAGACTGCACCATTCCCTGCAGCCTGGGTGCAGAGTGAGGCCCAGTCTCAAAAAAAAGCAACTCACAAAAAGGTTGGAAAAAGAAAACAGAGAAACAAAAAGCAAAGAACAAATAGAAAGCAGAAAATAAAATGGCAGAAGGCAGAATTAAGCCCTAACATACAAATAACTTCATTGGCACGGTGGATTAAAAAACAGGATCCAGAACAGGTGCGGCGGCTCACACATGTAATCCCAACACTTTGGGAGGCCAAGGCGGGCAGATTACTGAGCTCAGTTCAGTCAGACCAGCCTGGCCAACATGGTAAAACCCCATCTCTACTAAAAATACAAAAACTAGCCAGGCGTGACAGCACATGCCTATAATCTATTCGGGAGGCTAAGGCACAAGAATCATTTGAACCTGGGAGGTGGATAGTTGCAGTGAGCTGAGATCAAGTCACTGCACTCCAGCCTAGGTGACATAGCAAGACTCTGTGAAAGGAAAGGGAAAAGGGAAAGGGAGAAGAAAAGAAATAAGATCAGCAAGTTTATAAAAGAACTTAACAATGCCATCACCCAAAAGCAGCTAATCAACGTTTATAAACATTGCCCAGTAACAGCATAATTGTTACAGAATATCCAGGAGACGGGAGAGACCAATGGGTGAAACAGGGGGATTTTATTAAGGTGGCCACTGGCTCAAAGGATTAGCATCCCAAGTCTGAGCCCGGAAGAAAGAAAATCGGGTACTTTTATACATCCAGGATGATGTAGCAGCTAACAGGTTTACAGGAGTCACAATCAAGAACAGTTAATTAATTTGTAACATGTCTTATGATGTACATTACATTTGAAAAATGGCATTTTGAGAAACGCATTGTACATTCTTTGGGTATTATCTTGCCCTGTGCTCTTGCAGCTGGTCAGCAAGAAAAACAGGAGTCTTGACATGCCTGGGAACTTTGCTGAGAATGTGGGGAGAACAGATAAAGTAGGTTTTACAGGGAGTTAGTTACTTTTAAGCAGAGCTGGGGGTTAGGTTTTACATTAAACAGCACACAACACAGCAAAATTTATTATATAGCAACTACAAATTATAAGGTTTGGTTTTTACTATTATTGCCATTATTTCTCTTCTTCATAATCATAAAACATATGCCAAGACACACCACTTTCTAGGCCATAAAACAAATCTCAACAAATGTGTAAGAATTAAAATCACACAAAATATGTTCTCTAACCACAATGGAATCAAACAAGAAGTCAACAACCAAAAGATTACAGAAAAATCTCCACTAAACACTTGGAAATTAAATAAAACACTACTAAATAATCCATGGGTTACTGAAGTTTCAAGGGAAATCAATAAATACAACTAACAGAATAAAAATAAAAGTATGATGACATAATAAAATTAGGAAGTAAGCCAAACCTGTGAAAGGGTAACACATGCATACATAACAAAGATGAAAATCAGCAAGCTATACTTCCACGTCAAGTAGCCACAAAAAGAGCAAAACAAATCCAAAGGAAACAAAATGGAGGAAATAACAATGAAAACAAAAATCTAAGGCCAGAATTACCTTGATTCCAAAACCAGATAAAGAGATCACAAGAAAAGAAAACTAACAATCAATATCCTTTATGAGTATAGATACAAAATCCTCAACAAAATGTTAGCAAACTAATTCTGGCACTTATAAAAAGTGAAGTCAGCCACAAAGGTAGTCAACATCTACATCACTGGTTCCCAACAAAAGCTCAGGACGTTGGTTTAGGGGAGCTTCCCTGGCTGGCAGTAGTCTCTGCTTATTTTCACCCAGCACTGTTGGGGAAGTAAGCACTATTTATGTAACTCCACTGAGACAGAACAAGTGAAAGCTCTTCCTGGAAGTCTTCTGGACTCTGCCCTATGAGTCTCTCCTTTCAATGATTTTAATCTGTGCCCTTTTGCTGTGATAAACCATAATTGTGAGTATAACAGCTTTCAGTGGGTTCTGTGAGTTTGTCTAACGAATTATTTAACTTGAGGGTGTTCTTGGGAAACCCCTTAAAGTTTGCAATGACCAAGTCGAATTTATTCCAGAAATGTAAGGTTGGTTCAACACATGAAAATCAGTCAATGTAATATACAATGTTACACTGATCAGGACATATGCTAACTCAATAGATGCAGAAAAAACTTTGACAAAGGACAAAAACCATATGCTTATCTCAACAGACACAGAAAAAAGTCTGACAAATAAAGGACAAAAACTATGTTTATCTCAATAGACACAGAGAAAATGTCACAAAATCCAATACCCTTTGATAATAAAAACACTCAACAAACTAGGAAGAGGGGGAAACTTCCTTGAACTGATAAAGGCATTTACGAAAACCACACAGCTAATATCCATATCATACTTAATGTGAAAGACTAAAAGTTTTCCTTACAAGATCAGGAACAAGACAAGGATGTCTGCTCTTGTCACTTCTATTCAACACTGCCCTGGAGATTCTAGCCAGGGCAACTGACAAAATGAAGTAAAATACATTCAGACTGCAGAGGAAGAAGTAAAACTATTGTTATTTTCAGGTAACACGATTTTGGATACAGAAAACCTAAGGAATCCACATTTTAAAAAACCTATTAGAGCTAATAAACAAGCTCAGCATGGTTGCAGGACAAAAAATTGATATAAAAATTCAACTGTATTTCTATACACTAGCAATTAACACTCTTAAAAGGAAATTAAGAAAATTCAATTTGTAGTAGCATAAAAAAAATAAAATACTTTGGAGTACAATTCACCCATAAAGTACAAAGCTTGCACACTGAAAAGTACAAAACATTGTTGAGCAAAATTAAATGCTGATCTAAATAAATTTTAAAAGCACTGTGTATTCATAGACTGTCAGAGTTAGTATTGTTAAGATGGCAATGCTCTTTGTGATAACTGATTTTATGTGTCAACTTGAGTGGGCTACAGGGTGCCCAGATATTTGGTGTTATTCTGATTTGTCGGTGGGGTGCTTCTGAATGAGATTAACATTTGAATCAGTAAGATGAGTAAGCAGATTGCCCTCCCCAGTGTGGGTGGGCCTCATCCAATCTAATGAAAAGCTGAATAAAACAAACGGTAGGGAGAATTCATTCTCAATGCCTGTCTTAGAGGCAGGACATATATTTTTCTTCTTCAGACTTGGACTCAGACTAGAACTTACACCATCAACTCTCCTGGTTCTGAGGCCTTTGGATTTGGGCTGGAGCTATGCCATTGGCTCTCCTGGTTCTTCAGACTGGAGATCTTAGGCCTTCTCAGCCTATACAATCAAGTGAGTCAATTCCTTACAGTAATTTCTCTCTCTAAACACATACACACACACACACACACACACACACACACACACACCCCCCTACACCTCTTACTGATTCTGTTTCTCTGGAAAACCCTAAAACATTCTCCAAATTTATCTACACATTCCATATAATCCCTATCAAAATCTAAGCTGGATACTTTGCAGAGATTGACAAGCTGATCCTAATATTCGGATGAAAATGCAAGGGATCAGGAATAGCCTAAACAATTCCGAAAAAGAACAAAAAGTTGGAGGACTCACATTTCCTGACTTCAAAACTTACTGTAAAATTACAGTAATCGAAACAGTGTAATACTGGCATAAAGATAGATAAATAGACCAATGGAATAGAGGGCCCATAAATAAACCCTCATACAGTGAAATAATTTTCCAGAAGGGTCTTAATGCCATTGAATAGTTAAAAGGTAGCCTATTCAACAAATGATGCTAGAAAAACTGGATATCCATATATAAAAGAATACAGTTGGACCCTTACCTCATACTATATACAAAAATTAACTCAAAATGAATAAAAGACCTAAACCTAAGAGCCAAAACTATACAATTCTTAGAAAAAAACAGAAGGGAAAAGCCTCATGATATCAGATTTAGTGATTATTTCTTGTGCATAACAACAAAAGCCAAAGAAAAAAAGGCAAATTGGACTTCAAAAATATTAAAGACTTCTGTGAATCCAAGGACATTAATAACAGAGTAAAGAGACAACGTACAGAATGAGAGTAAATACTGCAATGCAAATCACCTGTCTGATAAGGAATTAATATCCAGAATATATATTATTTTAGAATACTTAAAACTCACCATCAAAAAACAAAAAACTTAATTAAAATCCGGAGAAAGTACTGGAATAGACATTTCTCCAAAGATACATAAATGGCCAATAAGCAAATAAAAAGATGCTCAACATCACTAGTCATTCGAGAAATAACAAGAAAAAACAGAATGAGACAACATTTCACACTCATTAGAGTGATTATTATTAACAAAAAAAAAAAAAA